AGCCGAAAAAAACGACCATGTATTGTAAGGCATTTTTTAGCCGAAAAAAACAACCATGTATAGTAAGGCGTTTTGAGCCGACAAAAAAGACCTTGTATAGTAAGGCATTTTTAGCCAAAAAAAACGACCATGTATAGTAAGGCGTTTTTAGCCGAAAAAAACGACCATGGAAAGTAAGGCGTTTTTAGCCAAAAAAAACGACCATGTATAGAAAGGCGTTTTTTGCGAAAAAAAAGACCAATGTTAGAAAGGCGTTTTTTGCCGAAAAAAAACGACCACGTATAGTAAGGCGTTTTTAGCCGAAAAAAAACGACCACGTATAGTAAGGCGTTTTTAGCCAAAAAAAAAGACCACGTATAGTAAGGCGTTTTTAGCCGAAAAAAACGACCGTTTTCAGCCGGAAAAAACGACCATGTATAGAAAGGCGTATTTTGCCGAAAAAAAACGACCATGTATAGTAAAGCGTTTTTAGCCAAAAAAAACTACAACGTATAGAAAGGCAGTTTTTTTCCTGAAAAAAAACGAGCATGTATCGTAAGGCGTTTTTAGCCGAATATAGTGAGGTGTTTTCAGCCGTAAAAAATAACCATGTATCGTAAGGCGTTTTTTTCCTGAAAAAAAAACCACCAGGTATCGTGAGTTGTTTTTTTTCTGAAAAAAAAACGACCACGTATAGTAAGGCGTTTTTCACTGAAAAAAAAAACGACCTTGTATAGTAAGCCATTTTTAGCCGAAAAAAAAAACGACCATGTATAGTAAGGTGTTTTTAGCCTTTTAGACATGATGGGAATCTGTGAAATAGAAAGCTAATCTTGCTCAGGCAATCCACCACGACGTATCTCCCCATCCTGAGAGCTCCATGTAATCACCTGAAAGCCTTGTTCATCGTTTGATAGTCGAAGTGATCAGGAGCGAGCCCGATGACGACAGCATTCGGTTCGGATGTGTCGATACCTACAAAGTGTATCAAAAAATGTTTGATCTTCGAGCCGCACTATCAACTTCATGAGGAGTTTTGGAGTTTAGTTTTATATGTCCCATTTTCAGACATGTACCTGCGAAGTCTTCCAGGGCGCTGTCCTCCACCAGGAGCAACGGTCTGTGTTTTGTCTTCTCTAAGAGAGTCCTCGCAGCACTCAGTGATGTGAAGATCTCTTTTTCCTGTATGACAGAAACTCCATACTTTATTTTTGACAATTTTTTTAATACTCCATTCATTCATATGCGTCATTTTTTTTAAATTATGACACATAATTAGACACCATCTCTTGATACACATTTCTTCATGTTTCCGAATGCTATGCGTATGGAAATAAGAGACAGACAGATTTTAGGTGTAGCTAATTTGAAATACACTGGAGGGACAGGCTATTCTGAATACAACACAAAAGGATTGTTACAGCCCACACGAGTTCTTGGCAGCCAGTGTGATTTTTGTGGTGTGGGTGTTAAGATGTGATGGTTTTGTGCTGACCATCTTCAGCCACTGCTCCGTGATTGGTGGCCCTTGTCCACGACTCAACCAACCAATCGGTGCGAGAGAAAGAGGCCTAATCAACAACTGGGTTCCAGCAGTGCCACCAGCTATATTGATTACATTACATCACCGTTTAAATAGGATTCCGTCGCCTTTAGACGAGGCTGGCTGCAAAGCCGTGTGTTGTCAGTCCCACAGCCTCTTGTACCCCCGGTTTTTGGATCTTTCTTTGTTAGCTACCTTCAATTTGTTCAGATGTGATCATAGTCTTGTTTGGGTGTCGCAGTAGCTGACAATTAGAATTCTTGAGATTTTTACTTGAAGGTGTGATGTTATACACAGTAGAAATAATCATGTTTTAATTTTTTAAAATCTTTTTCCCCCCACCTTGAGATCAAAGTTGAGCCGTTGCAGCCTTTCCAGCAAGTTCTTCTTGCTCTCTTTGGTTGTGTTGGTCACAAACTTGATGGCGACAGATGCCTGCCGTAACCTGACAACACCCAAACACAAAACATGTTCAATTTTGAGTGCTCTTGTGGTCCTCGTTTAGACGGAGAGAACCACAAACCTCCCACCTGGAGAGGGCATCCTGCGCACCCGGCACTGCTGTGTCTTCTATGTGCAGAGTTCCGCTTAGGTCGATGAGAACGGCCTTTAGAGCGCGTCCGCTTGCCATTCTTGTCACCCACGTGAGAAAACGTGAGACCACGAAACTAATGCTATGTAGACAGACAATATTGCACACCGCTGGTGTGTACTATATAATAAATAAAACAAAGTAACCAATAGAAAATTTAATCATCCTTCATGTTTAATGAGGTCACTTCCATGTGTTTTTCTATCTGTTGATAAAAGCTACTTTGCCTTCAGCCTGGGTAAAATTTGATAAACTGATAAAGTCCACTGTAAATGGGAGGTTTAGACAGTTTTTCAAAAAGCTGCCCGAATCATTCAGAATTGGCAAAATGGATCAGATTACTGTGTTGTTCAAACCTAGATCAGGGAAAATTGAGAGGATTATTAACTGGCTGGTCCCTCAAATGTATGGTTTTCCTGCCTAGAATGCAGATTTGGGAGAGGGGATGGGGGTTATTTATTTGGAAGTAGACAGTGATCCCCTGTTATTATTTAGACATGCTTGGATTTTCCTCATGTAGTTATCAGTTTGGTGGACTTACTTAAACAGGTCAGGTATCCCATTTCTGTTATTTGTATTTTGGTCCCTTTAGAAGCACAATACAAGCAAAATCCAACGTGGTCAATAAGAAAAAAACGTAGTTTTCTGTGTAATTTCGAGGGATTTATTCAATCCGTGTAGTGACTTTTGGGACACTCACTATTTACCAAATACGAATAGAATATACAGGACTAATCAATGAAATTGTTTACATTTTTCAGGTTATATATTTTTTTCAGAATATATAGAGATTAAATGTCATCCCTCCTCAATACTGCTTTTTTTTTGTTTTGTTTTTTTTTGTAATTTTGCTTGTGGGTTGTACATACATTATTACGAGCGTGTAATTGCTGCTGCTGGGAGCGTTTAATTTCAGTCCTTAGATTAATAAAGTATCGATCTATACAAAATAATGATAGTGTGTGTCATTTACATTAGGCATTCATAAATGTTTAGTATTGTGGTAGTTGGCAGTGGTTTGGAGCTGCACTGACAACAGTTTGTAATCTTCCGGTGACCGTGAACAGGGCTTTATTCATTTTTCCACAATGCACATTTTATAGACCAAACAAACTTGCAATCACTGACATATTTACCGATGCTCTTCAACATGTTTTAATTAAACCGTAACTTACGATCCTAATTCAAAATGATGCGAACTTCTGAGTGACGACAACATTAGTTTAAAAAATAATACATTAAGCATGCTAACCTTTGCAGAAAAGCGATTCCTGCTTCCGGTTCACGTCTTCTTCGTTGGCCAAGGAGGAAGCGTTTTGTGTTTTACTTTTCAGTGCTGCCTACTCAGTTAAATGTGCAACTTTAAAAATACATACGAGTACTACTACTACTACTACTTCTACGACAACTACTACTAATAAGAATAAAAATAAAAGAGAAGCAGTTCCCTTTTGTGATTTTACTTTATTCTTTATTCCCACCGTACATGTATGGGCTGTAATCATTTAAGAGGGTTGTTCTTAACCACTTAATCACTCATTACAATAACAGAAAAAAATTCGAAGCACATTCCACTAACAAATAACAGACATATCGCATTAATGGCTCGATCGTTTAGGGTAGATTTTGGATGGTATTAGCAAAAGGCTAAACCTTATCGTGACATGATGCCAGAAAGTACTGTGACAAATCCTCTTTTCATGTTACCTCTTCATAGTGAATACATGTTTTTTTCAGTTTTTTTTTTGTTTGTACATGTATTTTTTGCATGTCACATTAGATGTGAAAAACATGTTTAAGGCTTATCGGACTGACCGATGTTTATAGAGGACCCTACCCAAAAGTATATGATGCATTTATTTTCTTGAATCCTTTTTTGTTTTTATCTCTAACTGTCTTGAACCCACACATATAATCCACTTTATTAAAGACTAGATTGTTTTGTTCCGTTTTTAACTTAGTTTGCGTTGTTTTGTCTTTGATTACGAGGTGTCTCTTCAAAACACTTCCTCAATTTCTTGAGCTTTCCAAAGAGGGGTAAAAAAAAAAGAATAAATAAAATGTAATAAAATTAAGAAAAATCACATGGAGTCAGGTCCATATAGGTTGCTCAGGCACAGTACTGTTCTTCTCGCCCAGGAACTGTCAGATAATCAGGGCATTGTGAGTCCTGCCACAACTCTCACAGGATCTCTTTGTCAATGTGCTCGTGGATGGACTGGCCTTCAATGAAACGAAAATTCATTTGGGTTTGAAATATTTTATGTGACAGCAGTCCTGTAAGCCCTCTGGCTCACATAACAGGTACAATGTCACACTGTTCACAGACCTTTACATCCTTTTCCAAAAACGGTATTAAGAAATGTATCAAAATGATCATCATTAACCCATTTGAGTTGTATTTCAAACATCAGCCACTAACCCTTGAGATTTTTCTTTTTAAATCATAATGAGACACCACATTCTGATCTGTGAAACGCAAATACGCACGCAAAGATGGCCTGTGATCACTTAGATATTATTGTAAAACCAAAGCTCAATGCGGCCTAATCACAGATTAAACTGACTTTTGCTTTGAATATCCCTCTGATAAACATATGCTTTCAATTCTAGCAGAGCCGCATTTACCCACCATCATTTTTTTTTAGGATCAAAACTGGTTAATAATATTTGTTGGGATCAACAGGGCAGGAAATGGTGATAATTCACAGCATATGGGGATTATTACAAAAGTAGAGCAGCAGGGGGTAGATGAGTGCAGTGAGAGAAATGTGTCAATATTTACAACAGAGGGGTGGAAAGATGAAGCGAAAACATTTTTAGACTGGACTTTGGCAAACACTTTTTAAGTGATACATTTATTCAGAGAAAAACATCTCAAAATCCTGGTGACAGCAACACGAATAAATGCCGACATTGTTTTTCCCGCACATTTGGCACAATTCCTTCCGAAGCAAACCAACAGTTGGAATGTGACTTGCAGTAACGAGTGCCTCCACAGCGACAGCGTAAACAATGACATTTCATATCCATTTATCTATACCGCTTGTCCTCATTTGAGGCATGGGTGAGATGGACTGACTGGCAAGAGGTGGGGGTACGCCCTGGACTGGTTGCCAGTCAATCGCATCGCAATTCACATATTGACAAACAATTATTCCCGTTCACATCAAGAGGCAATTTTAAGTGTTGAATTAAACTAAAATGTATTTTTTGTGAATGTGGGAGAAAGCCAGAAAAAAAAACACACACAAGCATGGGGAAAACATCCAAACTTCACACTGGAAGGCCGGAGCTGAGATTTGAACACAGAACCTCGAATTGTGAGGCAGATATACTCACAACCGGCCTATAGTGCTGTTATATAAGACATATAGAAACATTAAATTACAATATTTAAAAAAAGATTTCACCCAATTGAAACCATCTGTTGTTTTGTTTTTCTTAAAATGTGCAACAACACTCTGCTTCCAGCCTAACGTCACGAGAGAGAGAGAGAGAGAGAGAGAGAGAGAGAGAGAGAGAGAGAGAGAGAGAGAGAGAGAGAGAGAGAGAGATTGTTGCTTGGTCCTGCAGCTTGAGTTGATACTTGATTCTGCTGACAGGTCGTCATCCAAAAAGCAACAACAGGACGATGGAGGCTGAATTCACGATTATAAGAGGCACTAGAAAAACAAACAGACATGGAAACACATATGACTTTAGTAGTTAATGCAAAAAGCCACAAACTCTCAGTGTTAGCACACTGATCATTGTAGCTCCAGCTCTCTACAATACTTGAACAATGATCAAAATTCCACAGCACCAGACATTTTAAAGCGCTCTAGGACTTTCTGCATAGTTGCACATCTAAGGTTGTCCTACAATTACTGCTATTGGTCACTTAAAATTTGATTATTTGCACCAACTGCACAACCGCCATAGTATTCTATTTACTGAGATGCATTTGTACAGTATATACTATATCCGTGTGATTTCTGTCAACGAAAGGAACGGACCTCTCATAATAATTCGGACTGAGCGGATGAGATTGAGGACTTGGGCTTTGATTCCCGGGTCATCTCCAAAACCTGAGACCCCATGGTCAACACCTGATCCAACTGGGAGACAGAAGAAAATATACGAGATGAGATGATACAGTACACACAGTAGGAGCCAATGCTGAAATATAACATTTAAATGCTGGTCACAACATGTGAGACATAATGTGACCTTACACAAGAGCTGCACATTATAAGAAAAAAAAGTGACCATACAAAGATAACAATCCTATTTAGTGATGTAGACATGTGCATGTTAGTATACAGTAGGTTACAGTGATTAAGCAATGCACTGCATCATATTAGTAGCTGTTTACAATATTTTGGTTAGCTATAGAAGGTACATGAGAGTGCAATCAGAAATATGCAATGCTGTCTTACACTGTGAACAACACCACAATAACACATAAAACCTGAGAGGCAGAAAAAAAATAAAATAATTTTTGTTTAAAAACTATATTGTGTCCACATCATGTGTTTTTAGAATGCTTCTGGGGACTTGTTGATAAAAGCTGATTCATCGCGTTCTTGATATATGTACACAGCATTCGAAATACAAGCAAACAATTGATCTTATCCTTCACTGTAGATGGTGAGCGCATTCATTCTAGCGAACATATTTCCCCCTACCAGATGCATCCAAATAAAATGCGTGCCTATCTAATTGTACTGGAGAACGACTAAACTAAATACATACTTTTGCTGAGAAACCTTTCTTCGTGCAGCACGGCGATGGCATTTGTGCACAGAATAGCGGTCTGGATGAGTGAATAGAGTGTAAACGCCATGCTGGCAACTTTTCTCTCTCCTCAACCACACCCACAGATGCACGACAGACGGCCGTAAATGAGCAGAGAGTGTCGTACAAATGACTTGAATCGTAAATCGTATCTTGACGACGTAAAGTTTATATTTGACGCAAAAAAAAAACGACTGAAAACAAACGTTTTTCTTCTTCAAACATCATTTATTTTTGTGTCTTTTTTCCACAACAATAAACTGTAATATTTTGAGTTGTGTCTCATGTCATTCCGTTCACCTCTTCCAGCTTGAAGTGAATGTTAATAGTTAAATTGGTGGCGATGATATTCATTAAATCAATGAATGTTGTACAATTAGGAAACACTTGCGTTGTTATTCATAGTCTTTTAATTTACACACAATGAATTGCAGAGAACAAAAACATAGGTTAGTTCAATACATATGCAGATTGTAATTATCTTTCTTAAATGACAGCTTTATCCATTCATTTGGTTCGACGTATAAACAAGATGGATGAGGTTTCATTTTACACTGAAATACAACTGTCAGCATCATCATGTTTTCCTCTTTGTCATAAATAATCATATTTTTAAGATTCGGGTCTGAGGCCCCAATATTGAAATGAAAATAAACACATGTAAACAGACTGTGAGGATGAATAGTCTCACATTGGATATTATGTACAATTTTGCGGGGGATATATCACAAGATCCATATATACAATTCATGTCCATTCAGCATCTGCAGACATGACAAGCCCATTGAAAAGACAGCATACAGATGATCACCTTTGGGTGAAAGTGAAGCCTTTGAATTTATTATTTATCTATTTTAAAAAGTAAATCAAAAGTACCTCACCAGCTGCTTATCTGCAGAATCTTTAAGGACAATATGACAAACGGTGTTCTTTTGAGGTAACATGTCCTGTGTGTTTAGGATGTGTGTGTTCACAGTCAATAATGGCTGATATGTCATTTACTAATATTACAGCAACAAAATCAATAACCACAGTAACTATATTAGCATGAGGACTGTCCTCATCCATTGTGTTTATTTACAGCAGCACTTCAGTGTCCGGAACAGAAACAGTTTTAAGATGACTCTCTGTACCTTTAAAATCGCTTTAAAAAGTCTGGTAGGGGAAATTCAGTGGCTTAGCCTTGAAGTCCACCAGGTAAATTCATGGAGGTCCGATTTGGGTCCTGGTTGGTGTCTTTGAGGCTGGATGCTGATTTCCATTTGTTGTCATTTATTTGTCTCTCCTTTAGGAAATCAATCTCAAGGAACATGACAATTAGCTATTTATTCATATGGGAGCTGATCTTTTCTTTTCTCATGATGTTTGCATACGGAATCTAGAAGACAAAAAAGTTTGAAAAATGTTCAGGGAAAAAGCACACACAAAGCAAATTCAACACCTATCAATAGTTGCTTAGGTGAATACAATCAAGCCTTTTTAGTATTCATCATGAGCAATTTGTGCGTACAGACGCAGGCTTTGTGACCATTTGCACACAAGTGTGTCCAGTTGCTCCAAGTGACAGAAAGCAAAGACAAATGGAGGCTGTCAGTCTCTCAGTCAGCTGTGATGATTGATTCAGATGCTGCATAGGAACTCCTCACCCGTGAAAGACAAACTACATGTACTGTATGTTTTATTTGGATGCACACACAAGCAACCACGGTGTAGTCGATTGCTCTATTGTTACCACCAACAAAGAGGCTTTTTAAAAAATATCGTGTTCATCGACTTACATAGTATGCTGAATTAATATCAAGCATATCAAGTATAAGTAGTTATTTTATATCATCTAATATCAAGTATTTTGGCATTGAGGCATATGTAGTAGGGCTATGCATCGTTCATTTGCATTTTAATGTCTTACCATTTGTAAATGCTGGACCATCTCTTCTCTGTAGGCAAGCTCCCTTTTCATCTGGTCTTGGAAATTATCTAAAATAATGACCACAATTCTTTTACAAACATGTACTGTGTGGTTGATAGAGAAAATGCAAACATGCACATTAAGGAGTCTGAATGAGAATGTACAAAAAAATTAGCAAGACAACGAAGCCCTCCCCATAATAGCATTGACCTTAACTTGGAACTTACGGAAGACAGGAAATGGGGAGGTGCCCTTGAGGGTGTGAAACTCTTGCTCCAGTCTCCTCCTGAAGTCTATCTGCTCCAGCAGAACCTTCTGAAGCTCCTCTGTTGGTGACAAAGACAAAAAGATGTTGCAAAACAGCTCTCAGATGTAATTGTTTACAATGCCCCTGCTCAAAATAACCCCAATAGGCAGCTCATTTCTATCGTCGATGGCTGTTTGAAAGTGCTCTATAAATACAGTTGAGTTGAGTTGAGTTGAGTAAAGACGTTTCTTTACGATAGACAATCAATCAAGAATAAAGAAACAAATTATATTTGTGTACCTTTCTCCATATTCTCCACATCCTTCTTTAGCTGCACGGGAGACGCAGCCTCTTGACTTTGATCACCTGAGAACACAATGACAAGTTTTTGATTCATCTGAAACCCAACACAGTTGACGAACATATTGATACAGTGTTTGAATTCATCACGTCAAACAGCTTGAGTAAAAAGAGCTGTAATTCACCCTCACGCCTCTAGATGTCAGTGTCCCATTACGCCACTGACTGGAAGTCTAGACCACTTTTTTTTTCCCATCCATCCAGCCATCCATCCATTTTTAAAAATCTATTTATCCTCACAGGGGTCTCGGGCGTCCTGGAGCCTATTCCAGGTGTCTTTGGGCAGTAAGTGGGGTACACCCTGAACTGGTTGCCAGCCAATCGCAGGGCACACGTAGACGAACAAGCATTCGCACTCAAACTCACACTTGGGGAAAATTTAGAGTGTTGCATTAACAAGCCATGCATGTTTTTGTTATGTGTGAGAAAACCGTAGTACCCGGAGAAAACCCACGCAGGCACCTGGAGACCATAAAACCTCCACACAGTAAGACCGGAGCCGGAATCAAACCCTACACTTCAAGCAATGTAGCAGACGTGCTAACCAGTCGTCCGTCATGCCGCCCTGACCACTTTCCCTCACTGGAATTCCAATCTCCACTTTAGTTTGCCATTACAAAGGGCTTTGGTGAATAGAGAGTTAAGTGGGATGATGCCTCTTCTATTTGTGTAGGTCAGATGTCACCAAACTGTTTGAGAGTGAGAGCTCCTTCTTGGCATTCCAGTTTGACAAATTTGCTCAAAACATCTTAAATTGTGTGGCATATTTAACAATTACTTAAATCCAGATCAATAAAAATGCTGATCATGGGAATAATTTCTCATAATAATTTTCAATATCTATTTCACAAGATCGGAAACAAATTGATCCCTTCGATGACATTCCTAGGAAATCACACGTCTTCCAACCCCTGGTGATCCGTTTTTAGAAGACGCCGTCAGGATTTTGATGCGGTCTTTGGAGGCTGCATTGTGCCAGCGGGCACCAGGTTTGGGACCCATTAAATAAACGAAGCGGAAGGTGTTGGACATTTTGCTCCACTTTTCCTCGTTCTTATATATTAAAAAAAAACATTTGAATAATTTGCTTCTTGTTAACATTAAGCCTATTCCAGATTCAATTCACTAAATTTGATTAATACTTACAAAAGAGTCAGGATATCGGAAATTTCTGAAAATCTGTGCTCTGACCGCGACTGACTGGTAAGCAGGCGTTAGCTGGTGGCTCGGGCCTATCTTGTGAGCCTCATGCTGGCAAGCGCAATCATGGAAACCTGCTAATTCAATCCTGCATGTAAACTTGTTCCTCAAACGTGGCATTTTGAAATGTTAGCAGTTTAAAAGCAGCATGCAACTTTGCGTGTTTGTGCCAAGGTGATAATGAAGCGATCTCCGACACTCAATGCGTACGGTCTCCTCCAGTCATTTCATCTCTTCCTACAGCCCTCCTATGCTCTTTCCTCTCATTTGGAGCAGAGAGTTCCCCCCCCCCCTCTCTCGCCTCTTCTTTTTTCCTCTCTCTGTCTCATTTGACAAGCAAATTTGCAGACACTGCCCGAGGATAACAACCTCGTTTGACAGTCAATTAACCGTGAATAGTCAAAGCCAAAGCGGTTTGCATTACATAAATGGAAAATTAGATTATTTTTTTTTCTCCCCAGGAACAGAGGGAGAGTTTAAAGACAGTGGAGGCGGTGAAGAAAGGGGAGGGGTTGCATTCTCAAAGGAGTCAGGCCTTCTAATCACGTAGCGCTTCCCAACGCCCAGGGAGACGTTTGGCAATCAGGGGAAAGGTGGTCTCATTTAATTTGTTTCGTGTAATTTTTCGAAATACATTACACATTATGTGCTGGGATCATTACGACGCGGGTGCGTGAGTGTGTCCAGGTGTTTTTTGCGTTAGTGGGGGTACATATAAATGTTGGCACAGATATCATAAAGCACTTTTAATGTCTTCCTGACAGATATAAGAAGGCAATAAGCGGTGATCTTTTTCAAACAGCAAAGGTTCTTTTTTTTTTTTTTTTTAAGCGCTGAGGAAAGAAGGGGGGGGTAGGCAATTATGTCTTGGGCGATATTGGTCTAGGATGGAGGCTGCCAGCGCCGCTGCTTATTTCTGAGGTGATGTTTTCTTGTTGAACTATAACGGCCCCCCGAAGAGCAACAGCCTCGGCGACAAGTCGGCTTAAGCGGCTTCACAGAGCTCTCGCTCCTCCCTCGGTGTATTTGGCCACTTCATTAGGTACACTTGCACAATCTAATGAGATCCGATCCGAGAAATTCATCCGAAAAAATGCCTTCGCACGGATAATTATGGACGTGCTCATCTGCCAGAGTCGATATTGATTTTACAATAAAAGAGTTGACTCGCTTTGAAAATTAAACTTGTTATATTGAGCAAGAGCACAATTTTCAGAATTTTGATGATGATTACACTCACCTGTGGTTGAATCCTAGTAAATTAGATTTTTTTTTTTTCCTAAACCAAAAATTACCTTTGATAGACTTTTATTGACAATGGACCGTTGCAACATTTATGAGAAAAAAAATACATTTGACATTTTAGTGCTGTGTTTCTCAATCTTTATTTGAGCCAAGGCACCGAGCTGAAATTAGGCAAATCTCAGAGCACGCCGCCGAGCCAAAATCTCACCAAAAGTATGACTCCTCAAACAACGATGAGCTCATCTCAATTTACTCTCAAAGAGACGCAAAACTGATCTATTCAAAGGAACGCCAGGACTTACTCTGGTGTACATGACAACGGGTGGAAACGCAGCTTTACCTTCTACCATCCAAGGGAAAAGCGTTTCTTTGCCTGTCACTATCTGTCGCTGGCATAGAGAGATGAACATATAATTGTAATGAAACAATAATCATTTATATACGATCATTTCCTGATGATCTCTCACAGCAAACGTATGTGCGACGGCACCCTGGTTAGATTTTAGTGAGTGTAAATCTCATTTACTGTCCACGGCCCACATTTGTGGGATTTTGGTTTCGTCGGCCACTGAAGTATGAATAATGAACAGAAATTTAGAGTTTTCAAACAAATCTCTTGGGGCTCTCAGTTGTTTGTGATGAGCACAACCTTTTTAAATGATACTTATTGGATATCATTAGCGAGTAAAAGTGTATCTGATGCAAGTGGAATTAAATGTACGTACGTGAATAAATTGACTCGCACAGTCTTAATATGTCAAAATGAGGTAATTTGAAATCTGGGGCGAGGGGACTAAATGACTGAATATTATATAGTCACAATTGTTGTTCTGGGGTGGAACCAACCGACCATTTTTTTGAAATGACAAAAATTGAGGCTTTAAAAGGAAAAACCTACCGGAGCTTTCCCTCCAGTAGTCTGGTGCCGGTGCTGATGTTTCATTCTCGGCTCCAAAGAAGCTGTTCACCTCTTTGTTGTCATCTTGAAGACACAATGAGATACGTTTATGGAGCTGGTTATTTCCAGTCTACTCCCCCGAAGACCCCCCC